ATAAGGAGAGAATATTGCGCCCAGTTTTAGTATTTTGGGAGTCTTATACGTGTGGCCCTTTAGGCTAATGATAACTAGTGTACGTGAAAATATGCGTAGTTATATACTTTGAATACGTTCGTATCGCCACTGTGGCAAAGTTAATGCATGAGTACGCGCGAAGTAGCCACTTATTTTATTATTTGTTTTTTATTGAAGAACGCGTTTCGGAACTTCAGTATGGAACAAGCTTCGTGTTCCACTCTGCATATTACTACTATCTTTGCTCGCGATGTTGGTCTATTATTAACTTACTGTAATAAGTAACATCAACACTGAAGTCACTCGTTTTTTTTTTTTTTCAAGTGAAACTTACCTCGACTTGAATTTGGCAATGCGAGTCTCGACCACGAAGCCACAAATGGCTTCGTCGGCTGCTGCGTCGGCACCTTCTGATCCGGGCCTGTGTTTGAGCAGGTACCGCGTAGCCTGAATTAGGTGCAGCGCCGATGCACCCAGGGCGAGGCTCTGGAAGAGTAAGCGGCGCTCGTTAAAGCGACGCGGGACCGCTTCACTTGTCGCGTTCACCTGGACAGAGAAGCAATGGTTGCGCCTGCTGTCATGCACGCAGGCTCACTACCCGTAAAAATATATGCTGCTGCTAAACAATTGCTTAGAGTATAAAGTGGACGGCACTATAAGCGGGCAGAACAAGTATATCTATCACATACAATGCATACGTAACATCGAACAAGTCGCTGTTATGTGATTATTTGATTCGCTTAAGTTAACACAAACGAAAGCTCAGTGTTTAAGGTCTGTTACAATCACAGGAACAAATCATCACCTCTGTTCACGCAAATTGTGTCTCCTGTTACACAACCATTGTCTGCGATTCTGTGCGGCACTTCTCTCCTTATTACGCCGACTTCTCTTGCATGGTGGATGCTGATCACCGAGGAAAGGCTCTTATACTTACGTCAGAGAGACTTTCATGTACTTATCTGTTGTCCAAAATAATGATCTTATGACGCACACAGATCACCGCGGCAATTGCAATAATGAAGAAAGCACTTGATCGTGCAAAGTGTTGCTAAAAGGATAGCCGTATAGCTATGAGCAATAAAGTATTAATGATTGTTGAGGTTTAACGTCATAAAACAACACTATGATCATGATGGCGCCGTAAGTGAGAGCTCCAGAAATTATTCCACTTTGGTTTCTCTGACGAATACCTAAATCTAAGTACACAGAGCTGAAGCATTTTCACCTCCATGAAAAATGCAGTCGCTGCAGCAGGGTTTCGACCCCGCTGCCTTCAGATCTGCAATTGACCACCATAACCACTAGACCACCACGGCAGCCGTACGATAGATTATTTAATTCCTAAAACAGTGAGTTGACAGCGTCACAGTTTGTCGTTGAAATCTTCTCGTGCTCGTCTTCCGGATCACGTTACAATCCGCGGACAAAGCGTTTTGTGGGGACGCCTTTGACTGCTATAAGCACGAGACGTAGCTGATTCGTTAGCGTATGAGCCATCGTTACGTATTTGGCGTGTGCACGACAACGGTAAAGACCAAGGTAAGCTTACACGAAGCGTTAGATTTACTCAGGTACTTCGAAGAACGCCGGAACACTACAGCACTTTTATTTCAGTTATTAGGAACGCTTTGAAATGGAATTGTTACCGACACGTTCTCAAAGTTTTTCGATATTTCTGCGAAAACTCGTTTTTCAATGGGCACGCTTTAGTTCGAGGAGTGCTCGCGCATGGTGTGACGCCACTGTAAGGGTTTGACTACTTGCGTAAAACGAGCACCTGAGTGAGTTTCCGTGGAGTTCCGGTATAGACGCACCGTCTCTATCCCATGTAATACGTGTCTGTCAGATTTGTCTCTTTGCGCTCCTTTTTTCGTGGCCGAAGTTTTGCCGCCACTACGTCACAATATCTGCACGGTACATACTAAGCTCTAACCCCACGTCCGCGCGTGGCTTCTAGTATCGCCGCCGTGCCCTAAATGTCCTTACAGAGAAAGAGAGTGCACGCCTACACAAAGCAGCGCGCCTTTTCCCTCCACAGGGGAAATTGCGGAACCGAGTCTACACGCCACGCGCGGCGACGCGGACGTGTGGGGAGACCAGCGCATACAGCAACGTCGCACTGACGCGTCGTCGTCTTTGATAGCCCGCATAGCGCCACGAACGGAGACTTCAGTCTTACGACGTGCACAACAGTAGATGGTGGTGGCGTTGAGTGCGCTTCATCGACGACCCGCTGTATCTCGTAGGTGAGGTTAGTGACCTTGCGTAGGATTTTGTATGGTCCGTCATAGCGAAATAAGAGCTTTGCTGAGAGGCCGATGTGAGGATAGGGGGTCCACAAGAGTACTAGTGAACCGGGTGCATACGAAACTTCACGGTGGTGACGATCGTACCGATCTCTCTGAGAGGCTTGAGAAAGTGTGAGTCGTTCTCGAGCAATCTTTCGTGCTGCGTCGGCTCGTTCTATGGCATCGCGGACGTATGTGACAGGGGAGCTTGAACAAGCGGGAAGAAACGTATCGAGAGGCAGAGAGGGTTCACGTCCATAAAGAAGGTAGAACGGGGAATAGCCTGCGGTGTCATGTATGGAGGAGTTGTATGCAAAGGTGATGTAGGGTAACGTTGCGTCCTAGTCGCGCTGGTCTGGAGAAACATACATCGACGACATGTCGGTGATAGTGCGATTCAGGCGCTCTGTAAGTCCATTAGTTTGTGGATGGTATGCCGTTGTGAACGAGTGGTTCGTGGAACAGGAACGTACAAGATCCTGGACAACGCGGGAAAAAAAGTATCGGCCTTGGTCAGTAACAAGCTGTCGAGGAGCACCATGATGCAAAATGATTTCGTGCAGTAGAAAGTCGGGGTTATCGGTAGCGCAGCTGGTTGGGAGAGCGTGGGTGATCGCGTAATTTGTCGGGTAGTCGGTCGCCACGGCAACCCATTTGTTCCCAGATGAAGAATTGGCAAATGGTCCAAGAAGGTTGAGCCCTACGCGATAGAATGGTCCAGCAGGGATCTCAATAGGGTGAAGAAGGCCAGCTGGAAGCGATGTTGGTCGTTTTCTACGTTGAAAAGGTCGCAGCTGGCGACATACTTTTGCACAGAGCGATATAGGCGTGGCCAGAAAAAACGGCGCCGGACGCGATCAAAAGTGCGGGTGACTCCGAGGTGAGCAGCGGCAGGTTCATCGTGAAGCAGTCGGAGAACATCTACACGCAAATGGGAAGGCACGACGAGAAGGCGGTCAGGGCCATTAGGGTGCATGTTGTGGCGGTAGGGAACACCTTCATGAAGGAAATACAAGTTAATAAAGGTAGGTGGAGTAGCGGAACTCAGGCTTTCTATGATGGGAAGTAAATTCGGGTCGCGGCGTTGCTCAGAAGCGATATCAAAAAAGTCTGATATTGATAAGACGCAAGCCTCCGTAGCTCTCTCTGTGGCGTCTGGTGGATCCACTGGATACCGTGACAGGCAGTCGGCGTCTTGATGGAGGTGACCAGATTTATACACGACCGAGAAGGTGTATTCTTGGAGGCGGAGAGACCAACGACCGAGACGTGCCGTGGAATCCTTGAGCGAGGAAAGCCAGCAGAGTGCATGATGATCAGTTACAACAGTAAAACTGCGGCCGAACAGGTACGGGCGAAATTTAGCGACAGCCCAAACAAGAGCAAGACACTCTCTTTCGGTGATGGAATAGTTTTTCTCGGGAAGGTATAAAAGGCGGCTGGCGTAGGCGATGACCCAGTCACGTTCATGCTGACGCTGAGCTAAAACAGCCCCAATTCGGTGGCCACTCGCGTCAGTACGAACTTCTGTCGGGGCAGTCTGATCGAAGTAGGCTAATATGAGGAGTTCAGCTGGAGACCAGCGTGGCGGAATACTTGGACAATACTGGACAGTCGCTCAAGATGGCTTGCGAACGTCGGTTAAAAAACAATTATATCATCTAAACAGCATAAGCAAGTGGACCATTTGAAGCCACGCAGAAGGGAATCTATCATGCGCTGAAAGGTGGCCGGTGCATTACAAAGCCCAAACGGCATTACTTTAAATTGGTATTACCTATCGGGGGTTACAAATGCTGTTTTTTTCGGTCCCGTGGGTCAACAGCCATCTGCCAATAACCAGATCGAAGGTCAATGAACGAGAAAAGCTTTGCGCCATGAAGGCAGTCAAGGGTGTCATGTATTCTTGGTAAGGGGTAAACGTCCTTCTTAGTGACCTTGTTGAGATGTCTATAGTCGACGCAAAACCGCCGCGTGTTGTCCTTCTTGTTGACAAGCACGACCGAGTATGCCGACAAATTAGATGAGTGTTCGACGACGCCTTTGGCGAGCATTTTCTCAACCACTTTCTGGATGACAGATCGTTCGGCAGCGGAGACACGGTAAGGGCGGCGATGTAATGGGTTGGCATCGCCGGTGTTGATGTGATGGGTCACAACTGATGTTTGGCCTAAAGGTCGGTTGTCAAAATCGAATATGTCCGCATAGTATGTCAAGAGACAATGGAGGTCTTGTGCTTCGGAAGGCGAAAGATCTGGTGCTATCAATTTGTTAATGTCAATGCTTGACAGGTTGGGCGCAGTGAGCAAGTTGACGTGCTGAATAGGTTGCTCAGCCGACAGTTCAGAAATATCACACTCTTGCAACGACGACATGACGCCTAGTTTAATACCAGCAGGCAGCACGTGCGTGTAGAAACCAAAGTTCAAAAGAGACATATGGGTCTCGTTGTAGCGTACTCTCACCACGGTGTGCGGGACAGCAATGGAGTGCTTTAGCACAACGTCAGTAATAGGCGAAACGACATATTCACCATCGCGCACAGGTGGATCACACACGAGCTGCACGTAAGTCACGGCTTGCGGCGGAAGATGCAGGAACTTGGTGGCACAAAGGAGACTTTGAGCATCACAGGCAACAGCGGCGTCAAAAGGCAGCTCCAACTGAAGAAGACCCGTCGAGCAGTCGATAAGGGCGGAGTGCTCAGAGAGAAAGTCTAGACCGAGAATTACGTCATGTGGGCACTGCTAAAGCACGGTGAACAATACGATGGTCTGGCGGCCAGCGATACATACGCGAGAGGTGCACATAACGAGAACAGTAGATGTGCTCCCATCGGCAAGCATTACTGCACACTTAATAGGAGGCGTGATCACTTTTCGCAGTTCAATACAGAGAGCAGCGCTCATAACTGAAATTTGTGCGCCCGTGTCTATGAGGGCTGTCATGGTTACGTCATTTACAAAAGGTCCAAAATATTGCGGCGTGTAGGAATCGTCAACAGAGGATATGTAGAACGGGTCATCAATGCAGCGTCACCTCCGGTAGCTGCATGGTCTAGTTTCCCAAGGTTGAGGACTCAGGTCGTGCAAGGGACCTGGATCGAGAAATCATCGGCGAGAGAGATCGGCGCCCTTGGGGTGAAGGCGACCGGCTGAACCTTCGGCCCTGAACGTTAGTAGGAGCAGGCTGTGGATCGTACGGACTAGAAAACCGGTGAGAGTTGCCTTCAAAGCGACGCCATGTCCAAGTGTT